AAAATTAAACTTAGCTCCTTAAGAATCCAACTAAAACCTTGCAGCCTTGACCTCCATAACTCCTTTTTCAAGGTTGGTGAATCTTATCTCTAGACTTACAAACTTAAATAAACTTACTCGAGGTAATGGTATGCTTGAGAGCTGCATAATGGTGGTCGTCTTTTTCTAAATGAACAATATTGTATGAGCCTACTATGTGGCCTGCACTGAGGCATGTTCTATTATGTCTAGGCTTACTACGTGGTCTCCACGGAGGCATGCCAATTAATTTCCTACACACGGTCCACACGTGCGAGTATGGACCCACAAATCGGTTTGCACTCCTCCTAGGTCCCTTTTCTTGTCAAATGAGCATTCTCTGGTAGCTCTCAATGTCAAACACCCGTTAGAAGTAGCGGCTGTCACGACAACATTATGTCAAACATAATGATCGTTCTCCTATCTAGTAGTGTATGTGTCCATACCCTCGTGAAGGAATAGAGGTATTCCCCACTGATTGAGAACGTAATGGACATTTTTCCTTTTTCATTATTGTTTAATACAACTCCGCTAGCGATTTGTTCATATCATATTATTTTTCATATCATTCATGCCTAGGGTTGTATTTCATGCTATTTCTGAGTGATTCTGACAACCAACTGAAAATAACTTAAGATTACAAACATATTGTGATGTCAAACTTCTAGACGGTCTATTTCTAAGTTCTACATTTTCCTTGGAAATTCAGTTATTTCTTAGAAGCAAGCCAATGTGTCAAGATAATCAGCAGAAGTCGAGTATCGAACTATGAAAAATACTTGTTTAGAGTTAATTTGGTTAAAATACATTTTTCAAGACTTGAAAATTCAACTGTCCAAACCAGCATTATTGTATTGTGATAATCAAGTAGCATTACATATAGCAGTCAATTCAGTTTTTCACAAACGTACGAAACACATTGAAATAGATTGTCATATAGTTCGAGAAAAGTTACAAGTTGGAATCATCAAACCATGTTATGTTTTGACTAAAATGCAATTGGCAGATGTTTTCACTACAGGTTTGGGAAGACATCAATTTGATTTTTTGAAAGATAAGTTGGGTGTGATTGACATACACTCTCCAACCCGAGGGGGAGTATTAAGATATAATATTTGGAGAAACTATTATAATAATTAGTTATGGAATATATCTTAAATATTCGTAATCATTTAAATAAGTAAAATCGATGAAAAGGAAATGACACCTCAACAACTTAGATGGTCGGGAAGAATCCAAAAGTCAAATCCAAAGTATGCCAATATAAAGACGAAGTTAAAGAGCTAGAGACATGAATAATCATCCCAAAATATGGCTTGACAGTAGGCCATGGAGAAATAAATTATAGCCTTGGAGCAAAACCAACTGAAACTAGGAGATATCAAACCTATCTCTTGCAAGTGGATTTACAAAATAAAGTGTCACTCAATGAGTCCATATGAGATGAACCAAGAGACATCAATCATACAAAATACTTCAATGAAGATGTAAAGAAAAGGTTGTCAAAATTATCAAAAGATGTTTCAATTCATGCCACATTGAAGAAGAATGAAGTTTGATTGTTATAAATTTTGGCTGGGTTACAATTTAGAGTAATTCAGAGTTAGTGTATTTTAAGACTTTTTATTTACTTTAGGTTACATTTACATAATGGCTAATTATGTGCATAAAGTATGAATGTTAAAACTCTTGGAATGCCTTTAATAGTTTCATTTTTGAGGCTATATAAAGCCATGTACGTTGTATTTGTAAGTAGACTTGAAAATACAATAAAAGAAGCATTTATGCTTTTTTTAGCCAATGGCTAAGTTTCTTCGCAATTCTATATAGTTTAGATTGCATATAGAATCATTCAAGCTCGACATGATCAATCTTGCTTGTGGAATGATTCGAATCTCAAACAAGTGTTTTTGCGTTGAGATATTTTATCAACAAGAATCATTCAAGCTAGACATGATCGATCTTGCTTGTGGAGTGATTCAAATCTCAAACAATATTCTTGCCTCGAGATATTCGATCAACAAGGTAATCCAAATCTTACTCCCCTTGTAGTGATTCCTTATCTTATCACCGTAGCTCCAGGGTTCTCTCAATAATATAGACTAGACTATGATGAAACGTTCAGTCTAGTGGCAAAGATGACTATATACAGATTCCTCCAAGAATACTTGCGCTTAGTAAAGATTGAAAATTATGGCAGAAAGATAAGAATAATGTTTTCTTGCACGAAAAGTTAGATAGGGAGATCTATATGGATCAACCAAAGAGATTTAAAAATGGAGTTGGAATCACTAGTTTGTACATGCAAAGTCCAAAGAACCCTCATTTGGATGCGGCTCAATAGATCCTGCGATATGTCAAAGATATCACGTTACCCGAAAATCAATCATCAAGAATGTGTTAAGCTCTGTTCAGGAATAATTTCTTAGTGTAGAAAAAGAAAATCAACAGTATTATTGTTAACTACAGAAGTGAAGTAGAGAGCAACGGTTGGAGTAGCTCAAAAAAGTACATGGTTGAAACTCTTAACAGAGGATTTGCACTTGAAAATTGATTATCCAATATCACTTCATTTTGACAATCGATTTGCCGTTTGTCTCGCAGAAAATTCAAGGTTTAACGATGGAACAAAACATGTAGAGGTGCATTATCAACTCAATATTGTTCTGCAAATGAAAACTAATACTGAGGAGGAATGTTAAAATATCATCACTATCTCAACAATAGGATCAAGCTCAATAATTATACGAATCCATTATCTATATATATTAGTAAAATAATTATATATAGGTAATATGTTTTATTAGCTTCATTTCCACAGCTTAAAAAACATATGTCCATGAGATAATAAAATTATTACAATAATGTTGGTAACAACTAGCAAGAAACCCTCATCTAATTTGGGATCTTCCTTTATTAACCATCTCATTTCTTCTCGAACAATCACAAACACTTTTTTGATTATGGATCTACTACCAGAAACTCAATGCATAATCTTAGCATTCAATGTGTATTCCTGAATAATCTCATTTTTCAATTATTCAACCATTTCATTTTACCAAGTTCAATGTTAGTCAGATTAGTCAACATTTCTATGTTTCGATGCAACAACAAGATGTTATTTGTAACAAGTAGTTTGGTTGGTTGGTTAATTGGTCACATTTTATTCATGAAATGGGTTGGATTGGTATTAGTCTGGATACAGCAAAATAATTCTATTAGATCTAATACAAAAGGCTGGTATATTTCTGCACAACTTATTAAATTTAAAACCTAAAAATTATTAACCAACACCTAAAAATGATTTCGCTATTGGCAATCTTTTTAACTCGTTTTTTATCACGGTACCGTTGTTCGCATGATATTTCCATAGAAAACCGTTTGAGGACCTAAATTTCGAAAGAAAAGAGTCGATAGTGTCTCATACATGAACATAAAACCAAAACACCAATTTAGAAATCCTAATTGGGTTATTTAGCCAAGAAACTCAGTGACCGTCCATATTTTTTTTTGACACTATTATGAAATATAATTTGGACACGTATGATTTGTAATGGACACCCAAAAATAACTTTTTTGTCGACATTCTTTTTAGCCCTTTTCTAGTGGAGTACTGTTGTTTGTGGTTAGAATGGTTCCAAAAAGCCACTTTCAATTCTTAGTATCTTAATATTTCTTTAGGAAAACTACTAAGAACAAAAATTCCCAAGGAAAAGAGCCCATAGTTCTCCATACATAGAACTTAATATCAAAATCCTAATTTGAAAACTCAAATTGTATTGTGTAAAGCATTCACGAAAAAGTGGGGTGAGTCAATACTTTTAGACACTATCATGAGAAATGCCTAAATTTGATGATTTTGACATATATAATCCGCAACTAACACCTAAATATGACTACGCTGTCAGCAATCTTTTCTGCTCATTTTCAACCTGGAAACCGTTATTCGTGGTAACAGGCGTTTCAAAAATATTTTCTTGGGAAATAGGTTGAGTACCTAAATTTCATAGGAAAGTAGTGGACAGCTAGCCGCATGAAGGGAATGAATTCTTCATCCACGTAGCGAAAGCATTGGGAACCGTTTGATTTTTAATAGGAATTAAAACATAAGCAATAAATATGAAAGCAATAACTCATACCTTTGTAGAAACCGTAGATTACGATTCTCGATTTTAACAATGAAGCTCTTCCACAAAATCTTCCGTGCTATGACTCTAACACCATAAATTGACTTGTGAGAACTTTTAGAATAATAAGAAAATTCTAAGAGATAGTGTAAAAACCATATTTTTGGCTCAATACAAGAGTCCTATTTATAAAGGGTTTATAAGAATATTTTGACAAATAATATATTTCAAGATCTTACATTTAAGGTAATAAAGCTCCAACGACATCAAATTAATTAACTATACTCTTTAATTAATTAATTTTCATGCATTAACTATAGGTCACTCCACTTTAGTCCTATAGTTGAACTCTTATGCACACTAGGACAAGTTATGTCTATGGATTATCATTAAAAACAAGTCGATCCTTCACGAGTTATTCGTAACTACAGCTGGGTCAAAAGTCCGTTTTACCCCCATAATTATATCTTGTACCTTAAGTACAACTGATTCTCTAATAAACAATTTGTTTATGATCCAATCATAAACTGAGTCCCTCTCGGGACAGTGAGAGGGTGGGGCCCCATTGTTCAAGTCCCGGAATCAACATTTAAGAGAATTACTCATCTACTTACCCTATATGGGAAGGAGTGAATTTCATCTTGCGAGTTTATGTTCCCAGTTTCCTATTTGGTCAAAGTCCCCAAAATGGTAGGCTTATTGAATCGACTACAAAAGTCATTCTCACTCATGCAAATCAAGGGACAAGTCCTCATAGACAGAAGTTCATAACTCACTCATGATTAAGATCAAGTCGCACGTGATCATCTTGTGAAATATTAATCTTCTTAATTAACGGATTTATAAATAGAGATTAAATATTTCGTGGTCCAGTCTTATACAAACTCATTGTATAGAATACTTCCACTCACATGTCTCCACATGAATGATTTGGATCAAATCATTTGTAACAATTACAAAGCGGACCGTATCAATAGTGTTACTAGGATAAGGCACCCAACCTTATCCATATACTATAAATCTTTTAAGTTATTACTTGAACATGATCCTCGTGTATGTCAACTACATACTGTTCAAGTTTACCATAATAACCTTGGATCTTGGATTTTATATGATTATTGGATAATGTTTCACACAATAACAAATTACTTAATTCATAAATAAGAAAATGTTAAATTACAAAAGAAAAAAAAAATATATAGCTTTAAGGCACAAATCCCAACAATCTCCCACTGGCACTAAAACTAGTAGGATATACAATATGTGATCTAGGGCATAAAATGTACCCAACATTTTCTCCCACTTGCTCTAGAGTAGGTGAGACATATATTGTAGTCCTAGACTCTTTAGATGACCATCAAACACTCTAGCCTAGAGAGCCTCTGTAAATGGATCAACATAGTTGTCTGTAGAGGCTATCTTTGTGACAATCACATCTCCTCTCTGCACAATCTCTCTAATGAGGTGATATTTTCTCTTTATATGCTTCCCTCTTTTGTGACTTCTAGGTTCTTTGGAATTTGCCTCAGCACTACTATTATTACAAAAAAGTGTGATGGGTTTATCCATATTTGGAACTACTTCCAAGTTATTTAAGAACTTTTTAAGCCACACAGCTTCCTTTGCTGCTTCGCAAGTAGCCACATACTCAACTTCCATTGTAGAGTCTACGACACATCCTTGCTTGATGCTCCTCCAAACTATCGCTCCTCCACATTGGGTGAACACTGATCCTGATGTAGATTTTCTTGAATCCTTATCAGTTTGAAAATTAGAGTCAGTGTATCTTGTAAGGATCAAATCTTTGGCTTCATACAAAAGCACATAATTCCTTGTTTTTTTTGCAGATATTTGAGGATCGTTTTAATTGCAATTCAATGATCATATCCTGTGTTAGACTGATATCTTCTGACAATCACTATTGCATAACATATATCAGGTCTTGTACACAACATTGCATACATTAGACTTCCTACAACTAAGGCATAGGGAATCTTTCTCATATCCTCAACTTCTTGAGGTGCCTTGGGACATTGTTCCTTTGACAATATAATTCCATGCCTAAAAGGTAGATTACTCTTTTTAGAATTTTACATCGAATACTTGACAAGAATCTTGTCGATATAGGATGCTTGAGACAAGGCTAGCATTTTGTTCTTACGATCCCTTATAATTTGGATTCTTAGAACAAATTGTGCTTCTCCCAAAACTTTCATTTGCAATTGATTAGCTAGCCAATTTTTTATATCAGTAAGATAGCCTACATCATTTCCAATGAGTAGAATATCATCTACATATAAGACAAGAAAAGCTACTACTTTTCTATTGATTTTCTTGTATACACAAGGTTCATATTAAGATATGATATTTGGAGAATATATTTTAATCATTAGGTTTCTCTTAATCTTAGAAACCAAAAATACATTTTCTAAAAGTAAATAAGAATTGTTTAAAAATAACTTGACGCTTCCAACCGCGGTTGCTGACACAACCTCTCCAGTGTCACTTTCTTGAAAAGAAGAACAAACATGATTAGTGGCTCCTGAATCAATTATACAGATAGATTTAGCACCTTCCACTAAACAAGATTCAAGAACATGTAAATCATATTTACCTTCTTTTGATTTCTTTTTTTCGTCTAGGTATTTAGGGTTGTTTCTTTTCCAATGCTCATCTTCGTTGTAATTGAAACATTTCCCTTTTGCAGCTTTAACAACCTTGACTCTCTTACCTTTTGAGGTCGTTGTAGTCTCATTCTTCTTCTCACTAAATTTCCTCTTTTTGTTTTTACTAAATTTCCTCTTTTTGACTCTCTTACGGTTAGGTTATATACCAAAGTGCTATCGATATGAGAGTTTGATAAAAGAATAAGGGTAGGTTATGGGTAGAAAGGGATAGGTTTGTGATAGATTGATAGGACGATAACGTTAGGGTATGTTCCTATGATGATATGATTATGATACGACATGTGAATGATATATATATATGTTGTCATTTGATATGAAATATGTTATGGTACGAGATATGTGATAAATTAACATGTTTATGATATGATATATTGTGATGTAATATGTTATGGTATGATATGAATATTATGAAATGTTATGTTAAACGTATGAGACGTTATGTTATGTCTCCTAAATTGTGTGTATACAACCTGATATAAATGACATGAAATCACGATAAATGACATGAAATATAACACCAATAGAATTATATATGATATGAGAAATGAAGAATGAAAAACAATATTGATAAGAATCATTGTGTTCCAAATGGACCTATTGCCAAGAAGATTTAAAAAAATATGTCAACAATAAAATTCGAACCTACCAGCGAAGAGTTCAATTGATTTCAAATTTATCACATTAACCACTCAAGCATATCAACATTTATTAAAAAATGCTAGGTTTAATTTCATAAATTATGTAAAAGTCATATCATATATTATGAAATGTTATGTTAAACGCATGAGACGTTATGTTATGTCTCCTAAATTGTGTGTATACAACCTGATATAAATGACATGAAATCACGATAAATGACATGAAATATAACACCAATAGAATTATATATGATATGAGAAATGAAGAATGAAAAACAATATTGATAAGAATCATTGTGTTCCAAATGGACCTATTGCCAAGAAGATTTAAAAAAATATGTCAACAATAAAATTCGAACCTACCAGCGAAGAGTTCAATTGATTTCAAATTTATCACATTAACCACTCAAGCATATCAACATTTATTAAAAAATGCTAGGTTTAATTTATTTCAAATTTATCACATTAACCACTCAAGCATATCAACATTTATTAAAAAATGCTAGGTTTAATTTCATAAATTATGTAAAAGTCATATCATATATTATGAAATGTTATGTTAAACGCATGAGACGTTATGTTATGTCTCCTAAATTGTGTGTATACAACCTGATATAAATGACATGAAATCACGATAAATGACATGAAATATAACACCAATAGAATTATATATGATATGAGAAATGAAGAATGAAATCACGATAAATGACATGAAATATAACACCAATAGAATTATATATGATATGAGAAATGAAGAATGAAAAACCGATAAATGACATGAAATATAACACCAATAGAATTATATATGATATGAGAAATGAAGAATGAAAAACGATATTGATAAGAATCACTGTGTTCCAAATGGACCTATTGCCAAGAATATTTAAAAAAATATGTCAACAATAAAATTCGAACCTACCAGCGAAGAGTTCAATTGATTTCAAATTTATCACATTAACCACTCAAGCATATCAACATTTATTAAAAAATGCTAGGTTTAATTTTATACAAATTTATCACATTAACCACTCAAGCATATCAACATTTATTAAAAAATGCTAGGTTTAATTTTATAAATTATGTAAAAGTCAAATGGTCAATTTGACTATTCTTTGTGGAGATTAAAGGGGATCGAGAATAAATCCTGTCCACAAACACGGGAATAAATCCCGTCCACAAACATATCGGGATTGAATCCCAGCCACAAATGTCTTTTGTCGGGAGACTATAAATACCCACAATATATTATGTAAAAAACAGATTGGTGGATGAATGTAATTCAGATCTCAAATTGAGACGTTTTCCTTAGAAATCCGAGCATCATATTTGTCATTTCTAAGTTTCAAGCAATTCTTGTGGTAGAATTGCACCCGAGCCATTCAATCAAGCCTTGATCAAGTTAGATTGTGGAGTGACTCAATTTAGAACAAGGTTTTCAAATCTTGCTTCTAGATCTTCGATCGTAAGAGGTAATATAATTCTAGTCTTATCTGTTAGTTGATCCAAATTTAGTATAAGGAGGTGTTAATTACTTTTGATTCAAGGGTTCTTGCTTCAACAAAAGTTTGGATGGTTGGGCTGAGGATTAGGGTTGCTTATCAGTTTGAAATTAGAGCGTAGGTTGCATCTTTGTGGCGACTCTAGAATTGATTTTATCTTTAATTTCCGCTATTGTTTATCGTCTCTTTAAATCTGTCATTTATTTTCTTACTGTCATTTCCAACGTTCTTCATTATCCTTCTACTTTGTTTTTAGTGTTGTGTTAAAGATCATATTTAGATCTTGAAAGAAAAAAAAAATCTTATCATATTGTTCTTAATATATCCTTATCATTAGACCATTTGCATGTTTATTTGAAGATCAAATAAATTTCTATTCTCATTTTTCCCTAAAGCATATAAATCTGGAATTGTTGTGTTCGATCTTCACGACTATTCTCTTTGGAATTCATTTTTTTTTCAATGTGCAATTATATTAAAAAATATCTTTTTCCCTTATTTATTTGTTCATTTCTTGTTTTATTTTGTTGTTACTACATAATTACCTTGTCTTGATTGTCTTGAATAGCTCGCTACTATCAAAATTGCGTTATCCATATTATCTACCTTGATAAGAAATTAGTCACTTTCCCAAATAGCCTACCTTTGTGTGTTAAACCCAAGTGTTCCCGAGTGTAAAATCAGTGAGTTGAGTGTGTGAGGTCCTAAGCATATAAAACTACTCTTTGTACAATCATGAACCAAGACAAGAAAAATGGAGGGGAGATCAATGATCTAGTTGAAGAAGTCTAGAAGAATGAGAAGAAACTAGAAGATGGTATTCATTTGGCACTTATTACAAGAAGACTTCTTAAAACTCAAGTTATGGAGAATGATGTTGATGATCAAAGAGACAACCTATTTCACATGCGGTGTTTAGTCAAGGGGATTGCTTGTAGTCTTATCATTGATAGTAGAAGTTGCACCAATGTAGTAAGTACTATGTTGATCAAAATGTTGCAAATTTCAACTCAAGATCCTCCTAAACCTTACAAGCTCCAATGACTCAATCATAGTGGAACAATGAAGGTAATTTCCCAAGCTTTAATATCTTTAAATTTGGGAAAATATAAAAATGAAGTTCTTTGTGATGTGTTGCCAATGCATGCTGGAGACATATTGCTTGGCCGACCATGGTAATTTGACAGGAAGGTTATGTATGATGGCTATTTGAATCGGTATTCTTTTGTAAAGAATTGTAGAAAAACCACTCTTGTGCCTTTGAGTTCTGCAAATGTATTTGCTGATCAATTAAAGTTGGAAGAAAAAAAGAAAGAGTTTGAGGAAAAAGAGAGAAAAAATAGAGAAAAATCAAAGAGAAAAAACGAAGAATGAAAAAAAGAGATGAAATTGAAGAAAAAAGGAAGAGAGAGTTATTTGGCTAGAGTTGGAGAGGTGGGAAGGCTTTCACACAATGGAGGTTATTTGGTCTCTAACTATAACAACTTGATTTTGCCCACTGTTTTTCAATCTCTTTTACAGGAATTTGAAAACATGTTTCAAGATAAAGAAATACCTCACATTAGAGGTACTGAACATAAAATAGACTTCATTCCAAGGACTGTTATTCTTTATAAGCCAACTTATAAAGTCAATTCAACCGAGACAAAAGAAATTCAAAGGCAAGTGGAGGAGCTCATGGAGAAGGGCTATGTACGAGAAAGTTTGAGTTCATGTTCTATACGAGACTTATTGGTGCCAAAGAAAGAGGAACCTTGGCGCATATGCATGGATAATAGAGTCATCAACAAAATCACGGTAAAGTATCGACATCCTATTCCTAGGTTAGACGATATGCTTGATTTATTGCATGATTCGTATCTATTTATAAAAGTTATGCCTTTTAGGTTAACTAATGCTCCTAGTACACCTATGCGCTTAATATATAATGTTTTGAGAAAATATATGTGAAAACATGTTGTTTATATTGATGATATTATAATTTATTTGAAGATTTTGCTTGAACATGTAGAGCATGTTAAATTAGTTTTGGTTACACATAGAAAATAGAAATTTAATTTTAATAAGGGTAGTTTTTGCATGGAAAAAGTTCACTCTTTTGCGTCATAGTTGATAAAAGTAGAATAACATTAAATAGAGACAAAGTTAAATTCATAATGTATTTACCAACACCAAAGAGTGCACGTAAAATTCGGAGTTTTCATGAATTAGCTAATTTTTATAAGAGATTTATAAATGATTTTAGAACCATAACTGAACTATTGAATGACTTAGTGAAAAAGAATGTTGTTTTTAAATGGGGAGGAATGCAAGAAAATGCATTCAATTTTCTTAGGAACAAACATCATTATTTGTTTTGCCTAGCTTTTATAAAACTTTTGAAATTGGATGTGATGCATGTAGTTTGGTCATAATAAGTGTTGTTTTAATTCAAAATGAAAAGTCGTGAGTGTATTTTAGTGAAAAACTAAATGGGGCAATATTGAAATACCTTACCTATGATAAAGAATTCTGTGTAGTTCATATATTGCATGTACCGCAACACTACTTATGGTCTAGAGAATTTGTGATCCATTTTGATCATGAAAACTTGAAGTATGTGAAGGGTCAAAGCAAATTGAACCGTAGACATGCAAAGTGGGTGGAATTCATTGAAACATTTTCGTATGTCATCAAGTATAAGCAAGGTAAGAATAATACAGTAGATATGATCTCTTTACTTCTCTTACTGCAAAAATTCTTGGAGTTGAGCATATTATTGAATTATATAGAGATGACCCAGACTTTAGAACTATTTATGCATCTTGTCTTGCAAAAAAAAAAAAAAGTGGTGGATGATTATTATGTGTTTCATAATTTTTTAATTACTAAGAGTATGTTTTGTATTCCTAAATGCTCTATAAAAGATTTGTTTTGAGAGAATCATATGGTGGTGCCTTAATGGGACATTTTAGGATTAATAAAGTTTATAAGATGTTGCATAACCACTCTTGTTGGCCGAAGATAAAGCATGTAGTAGATAGATTTATGGATGATGCAAAGCATGATGCTGACTTATTCTTTAAGAAAGTAGTTTATGGATTTATTCCTAAATGCTCTATAAAAGATTTGTTTTTGAGAGAAACATATGGTGGTGCCTTAATGGGACATCTTAGAATTAATAAAGTTTATAAGATGTTGCATAAACACTTTTGTTGGGAGACTATAAATACCCACAATATATTATGTAAAAAATAGATTGGTGGATGAATGTAATTCAAATCTCAAATTGAGACGTTTCCCTTAGAAATACGAGCATCATATTTGCCATTTCTAAGTTTCAAGCAATTATTGTGGTAGAATTGCACCCGAGCCATTCAATCAAGCCTTGATCAAGTTAGATTGTGGAGTGACTCAATTTAGAACAAGGTTTCCAAATCTTGCTCCTAGATCTTCGATCGTAAGAGGTAATCTAATTCTAGCCTTATCTCTTAGTTGATCCAAATTTAGTATAAGGAGGTGTTAATCACTTTTGATTCAAGGGTTCTTGCTTCAACAAAAGTTTAGATCGTTGAGCTGAGGATTAGGGTTGCCTTATCAGATATGATATAAATGATGAACAATATGTGAAATGATATTAAAAATGATATGATATGTACAGAACGCTAGCTGGTTGTATTAAATAATAATGAAAACGGAAAAATGTTGGGACCTCATGTATTATGTATGCTCATGCATTGGGGGATACCCCTATTCCATCACGAGGGTATGGATGTGTACATCCACGAGGTAGGCGAAGTATCATTATGTTCTACATAATGCTACCGTGAAAGTTACTAATTCTAATGGGTGTCGGTAGCAGTAGAGCTACCAGAGAAGGTTCATCCAACAAGAAAAGGGGGCTCAGCGGTGTGCGAACTGTCTGGTGAGCCCATACCCGCACGTATGGGCTGTGTGTAGAGTATATGGTACACATCCAAGCTGCCCATTAGAATAGTGTTGTAGGAAAAATTGATAAGTCCCATCATAGCATTTTGCATGTTCTTGTTGCATAATTTCCAATAGTGGGATCACTTACTAAGTATTTTTTTAAATACTCAAATCATGTGCTACTCCATTTTTTAGGGTAAGGCAAAACATTCATGTACGGCTGACGACGATATCGCAACTCGAGACCATGGCACATGCATAGAGTTTTCGTATTTATTTTCTTAGACTTAGGCTAGAATAGGAGGTTTTAATTTAAACATTTATTTATTTTATTAGCATTTTGTTGTGTCGTTTTAAAGGTGTTTTCAAAACACGTAAGTACATTTAAATGAAGTATTTTTGCATTCATGTTTATGACATGTAAACAATAGCAACATTAAATTAAGTAGAAAATTTCAGGCAATAACACATTAATATATTTTTAATATTTAATGTATCAAATACAATAAATATACTTTTCTAATTTGAACATTTCAAATTTATTCTTTCAACTAAATTTACCTTTTTGGTGTTATTATGAGCTAGCATAGGGACCTTATGGATCTACGGGTTATTAGCTCCAATGACATCAAATTGATTAACTAAACTCTTTAATTAATTAATTTTCATTCATTAACTATAGGTCACTCCACTATAGTCCTATAGTTGAACTCTTATGCGCTGTAAGACAAGTTATATCCATGGGTTATTATTAAAGACAAGTCGATCCTTCACCAATTATTGGTCAAAAGTTCATTTTACCCCATAATTACATCTTGTACCTTAAGTACCATTGATTCTCTAATAAACAATTCGTTTATGATCCAATCATAAACTGAGTCCCTCTCAGGCCAGCGAGAGGGTAGGGTTCTATCGTTCAAGTCCCGAAATTAGCACTAGAATTACTCATCTACTTACCCTATATGGGAAGGAGTGAATTCCATCTCGTGAGGTTATGTTCACAACTCCCTATTTGGTCAAGTCCCCAAAAAGGTTGGCATATTGAATCGGCTACAAAAGTCATTCTCACCCATGCAAATCAAGGACAAGTCCTCATAGACAAGAGTTCATAACTCACTCATGATTAAGATCGAGTTGCACATGATCATCCTGTGAAATATTAATCTTCTTAACTAACAGATTTATAAATAAAGATTACATATTTCGTGGTCTAGTCTTGTACAAACTCATTGTATAGGATACCTCCACTCACATATCTCCACATGAATGATTTGGATCAAATCATTTGTAACAATTACAAAGCGGACCGTATCAATAGTGTTACCAGGATAAGGCACCCAACCTTATCCATATACTATAGACCTTTTACGTTATTACTTGAACATGATCCTGTATGTACTGTTCAAGTTTACCATAATAACCTTGGATCTCATATGATTATTGGATAAGGTTTCCCACCTCAACAAATTACTTAATTCATAAATAAGAAAGGTTTAATTAATAAAACTATGATATTTAGTGCACAAATCCTAATACCACATACATGAACTTAAAACTAAATCAGTAATTTGATAATCTTAATTGGGTCTGTAAAGCATTTGAACAAAAAAAAACTTAGTGACTATTGATATTTTTCAACAAGAAGGTTAAATTTGGATGATTTTGACATCTATGATCTATAGGTGACACCCATAAATAGCTTCGCTATCAACATCTTTTTGGCTCGTTTTTCATTTGGGCACAGTTGTTCGCGCATTGGGTAGTTCAAAAAACTACTTTCCATTCTTTTTATCTTAGTATTTCCTTAGTAAACATAACTAGGACCTAAATCAAAGAACAAGAGTCTACTGTACCGTATAGGTGAACTTAAAACCAAAACCTTAAGGTAGGAAACCCTAATTGGGTTGTGTAAATCATTCACTCAAAAAAACGGAGTGACGGTCAATAGTTTTCGACACTATAGTGAAAAATATTCTAGTTGGATGATTTTGACACGTATAATCAGTAACTGAAACCAAAAAATAGTTACACTTTTGGTTATCTTTTTGTCTCGTCTTCAATCATTGTATCGTTGCTTTCATGTTAGGGCAGTTTGCACATGTATGATCAGTAACCGATACCCGATAATCTTTTCAGCTTGATTTCCATCGGGGTACAATTGGGACCTAAATTTTGAAGCAAAAGAGCCTATGTGCTCCATATTTGAACTTTAAATCAAAAACCCTAATTTAGAGTTCATGTAAAACATTCAATAAACTAAGTGAGACAACTAAGTGAGGATCGATTATTTCAACACTATGTTCAAGTTCCTTGATGAATAACCAACACCTAAAAAACCTTCAAGGTAGGCAATGTTTTCAGCTTGTTTTTCGCCAGGGTGCTATTTTTTTTTTTTTTTTTTTTTTTTTTTTTTTTTTTTTTTTTTTTTTTTTTTTTTTTTTTTTTTTTTTTTTTTTTTTTTTTT